ATGTCCCTTTTTTTTAATACATACACAATCACACACGCACACACAAGCACACACACACTTGTGAGTTTTTGAGCTAATTAAGAGATTCCCGGAGCGTAACCAAGAAAAGCTGGCTACTGTGGGAACATGAAGGAATCTGCCACTGAAACATATTGAAGACGTCTAGGTTGATAACAGATAATTACTTTATTTTGACAATGAATACAAATATGAGCTGATAAATGAAGTGGTAATAAAGATAAAACTAAATTAAAGTCTTGAAATCAGTTTTAAGCACAATATTGTTTTTCCATTTTCTACTCAAATGATCCCATCTATTGCTGTTAGAAGGCATCACCCAGGACAGGACAGTGGACAGAATCAGAAATAAGGGAGCGAGAGAGAGAACGGGGAATGGCGTGCGGAAAAGGAGCAACAGGTCGGATTACGAACCCGAGCCACCCGCTCGGAGGGTTATAGCCTCCATACATGGGGTGGCACATTAACCAATAGGCTACCAGCGCCTCAGAAATTGCAGGATTTTTTAATTACATCTGCAATAAGAATAAAAGTGTGTAATTCTAAGGCGGTTCTTGCCTTAAAAAGTATATTTTTAGTATCACAGAGTAAATTCCTGCAGGCTCTAAAGGGGCTGTTAAAAGGATTTCTTTCTTCAAAGAGAATAGAGACTTAAAACTTTCTGCAATAACAAGTATTCACAGCAGGAAATTACCATGGAAAGAGCAATAGTCTGACTCTTTTTCTTTGAATCTGTATATGCTTAAAATGTTTCAACTACTCAGTTTAACTCAGACACATCCATGGAGAACAGCCGTGGTCTGTCTGACTCTGAATGTAGCAGCTGAACTACACTCGAAGCGCCACAGACTACTGCAAGACAAAGAGTAGATCTCCCCCATGTTTTATTTAGTCTTATGTTGATACCTGTTTAGGTAGAACTCAATTCAACATTGTATTAATTGCCTTTTTGACATTTTCAAGAGCAAAAGTTACTGCAGTTTTGTTAGAACACGGCTCTAAGACTTTTGTTCAGAACAGGCTTAATGTATCGACACTCACTCAGACACACCTCCACAGTAAAACACTGGTCACGTCTCCCCCTGCCAAAGCTAATCCTCCTTCATCTGACATTAAGCCAGGGGATGAGAGGATGAAAAGGTAAGCAGGGGGATGAGATGGAGAGGACAAAAGAAAAAGCAGGCAGACAAAAGGAGCAGAGAATAATGCTCATTGCCCTTCTCACCTTTGACTTTTGATGTCTGCGCTATTAGAGCACATTTGATGCTGAGCCAAAATGTTCTACAATTATAGACAAGATAAGAATTTGAACTTGTGAATTGTTTCATTAAAAAATATTTTATATCACAAGTTTTCATTTTTAAAGGCACATTTTTACGCCCACATTTAATGTGTGAAGTAAGGCATCACACAGACAAACACATTTGACAGACATAATCACACTTTTGCTCATGTTTTGTAAAATATTATTCTCAAATCTATACTTTAAGGACAGTTAACCACTGGTTTAACCACATGGGCATAAAAAATCATCACTGTGGTGACACCATCTTGACGTCTGAAACAAGCCTTTCATGTTGATTCATTCCCTTCTCTGTAATCACTTTGTGCAAAAAGAGAACAGTTTACCCTCATTTTGATCTAATTGTGTGTTTTCTAGTTCCAAATGTCACAATAGTTCATCAACTTTTCCCCTCATCTTCTCTGTTTTCCTTCTTCTCTGCTCTCTTTTCCCCCCTCATCTTTTCTCCCGCTTCAAGCCAAAGTCTGTATATCATGATTGATCAGACACCATCCCCAATAACACAACCTGAGGACGTCTGTTTTTCATATGATAAATATGGCTTTTATCAGAACACACCAACACACACACACTCGAACACACACACTCGTGGATATATTATCAGCACCACATCAGTTCTGGGAAATCAGCCCAATTGGACTAAAACCAGAAACTCTATTATAAAAATGTGTGTGTGAGTGTGGGAGGGAGGGTGTGTGTGTGTGTGTGTGTGTGTGTGTGTGTGTGTGTGTGTGTGTGTGTGTGTGTGTGTGTGTGTGTGTGTGTGTGTGTGTGTAAGAAAAAGAGAGGGAAGTGAAAAGCACCTATGTGTGCCTTTGAAACCAGCCTTATTTCATTGAAGAATAAACACAACGATTATTGTTAGGTACATTTGTGCATTACATGAATATTAAAGGGAAGATTGAGCCAAAAATCAGTTACGTCTTCAAGTTTAATGCTTAAATTTAAATCCAGTTGTCTGCCTGAACTAGCATACGTCGCCTCATTTTAGCGTTAGCACTTGTAAAAGTGAGTTTACTCATATTGTAGTTTTGTCAAGTCCATTGGCCAGAACAATTGTAATAATGTTTAAAGCATCTTTAAAGGGGCGCTGGTGGCGCAATGGTTAGTGCGCGCCCCATGCATGGGGCGCGCACTAACCATGCGCACTAACCCGTCAAGCGGGCGGCCCGGGTTCACATCCCACCTGTGGCCTCCTTCCCGCAAGTCATTCCCCTCTCTCTCTCTCTCCCTGATTTCCAACTCTATCCACTGTCCTATCTCTCCATTAAAGGCACAAAAAGCCCAAAAATAAATCTTAAAAAAAAAGAAAGCATTGAAAGGATTGGGCATTTTAGTATGAATACTTAGTATTTTAACATGTCGTGTCAGAGTGTCGAAGATAAGGACGTTGACTTGGACAATGGAGGGAGGGAACAATGAATGAATGATGGTGCACCTGTTAACCTTCCACCACTAACCTGTAGCAATTTTAATTGTTTTATTTGGTTTTTCAAATAATCAAATTTCTCCAGTCAGATATTTTTCTTGAGACATTTGCCTTAATATTTGCATGGGGTTCAAACACAAACTAAAAATGAAGCACACCTTTTTATCTGCCACATATATATTGGAAAATGTCAAACAGAGGACTGTGACTCTAAATCCATGAGTGTCACAACCTAACATCTCCCCCACACACCTGTCACAATGTGTAATGCTAAACATCAAACTGAGCATTGATTGCTAAGATCATCAGGGTAAACAAATGTGCACATAAAGATAAAATCTGGATTACAGCAAGGTGTGAGTCTCTTCTTTGTCAGCAGTGTTAACACAGTATTTATTTATTTATTTAAAAGCTGTCCTGTCACCAGACACGGCACTGTGCAGAGCATTGCTCAAGGATATTCAGCAGTTACGACAGGTCTATTAGTGTTGAGGATTTAACCAGCACCTTTTAATTTAGTGGTTCACGTTTCTGCCTGGAAGCTAGACTGCCTCAATCACACACACACATACACACACACACACACACACACACACACACACACACACACACACACACACACTAGACAGTAAGGCTACTTTTCAATGTTTGTGCAAAGTGCAGACGCTTCAGGGGAGACAAGACTAATGCCGGATCATTCAAGCAGACACATGCTGTGGACACACACACACACACACACACACACACACACACACACACACACACACACACACACACACACACACACAGAGAGACACAGAGGAGCTGAAATACAGTAAAAGAGAAACAATCTGACTTTGCATATCATCCACTCAATCGTGATAATGCTCTGGCTATTTAATCAAGCAATAATAATGAGCACCCTTCTGTTATTTCTCGCCTTCCGTTAATTTGATTTATTTTAGACTCGCATGAGCTCACTGTCCATGCCGATGTCCAGATATTGCTTTGTTTCCCTATAGTTCGAATAAATATAATTACAGCCCTAGGGTGTTACTGTAAGTGTGCATGTGTGCACATCATGAGCATGCATATCATACTGTATGATTTGTGCCTGCCAGCCATCTTTTAATGTACTTACATATTCATTCCCCAGGTGCAGAATGCCTTTGAAGCACAGCAGGGAAGTCTAATAGAATTTAATTTTAATTAATTTCCCCTCTCTATTAATAACCTATATCATCCCCTAAGTGGTTCTGAGCGTTAAAAGGTGCTGCATTACTCATTAGCCAATTGCTGGGGCAAATGGGGAAAGGCTTTGTGCTGACTCAGCAGAAACCTCGAGTTGGCAAGTTCATCCCATAAACCTAAATTACCCTTAAGATGTGATGGTGTGCTTAGCATGGACACGGGTGACCAGAAATGGGAGCTAACAAGGGGAGATGCTAACAGTGAAATGTGTGACGAGTGAGTGAGGATGTTACAACAAAAAAAAAATGCAAGTGCCAGTGAATAAAGCAGACTTATGTGTGTGCACGGAGGGGCGCACATTTGGTCACAAACACTCGTAATAAACTCAGTGCAAGTGTTGAAGACACTGCTTCTAAAATAAAGTAATGTTTAAAAAATGCTGGATCAATCTCTGTGAAATGTGCTCATTAGAATGACTTCAAACATTTGGCGTGCACAAAGCTATTGAATGATGATTCCTGGTTTGCGTTTGACTTATTAGAATGTCTCAACAAGTGCAATCATGCCATCTGTGTTTTGTTAGACGGGTTGTGACAGCAGCATGTTTTCTCCAGTAAATGATGAAGAAAAAAAGGGAGGAAACAGGGGAGTAGTGTCAATTACAGAAATCTCTATGTAGAAGAACAAAAAAAACAACGGTTTGACCTTCTACAATCCAACATGCAGTGTATAGTAAAAAGAATGTGACGACCACCCTCCTGTTATCAGTACCCACGTGAACTCACTTCAGCTGTTTCCTTTACTCTTCTTTGTGTAATGCCAATTACTGGAGAGACCTCCTCCTTCTTGAGTTAGCTCATGCTTTGTTTCAAGCGCTTAGTGTGTCAACATACATAAGCACAAAACACATGAATGATCGATAGATAGAAATTGTTAAAGTGATGTTTTAATAGTGTTCCCCACTAAATTGTCTCTTAAAGTGAAGTTCTCCTCTGTGCCTCTTAACATCCCGCCCCAGGTTACCCACACACATCACTGACGCACGCGCATCGTGAGCGCGCAGCACAAGTTGGTAAACTTTTACGCGCTGACTTTCATGGCTGAGACGCGTCATTAAGGAACCAGTAAACTATGCGGGATATTTCTGAGTGACTGAACAGAATTTATTTGCAGCTCTGCGATAAGAAGTTCGGCGCCTATAAACTCATGTCTGACCGTGAACGGAGCTATATTACCCTCCACGTGCCCTTTGCTGCTTCGGAGTTTTCTTCTCTGGTATCTGCGGGTGCGTAACGTTCAGAAGGAGACGTTTATTTTAGTGGGGATTTTGGCACAGGACGGGACACCGTGTAAGACAGGCGCCAAGAATAGGAGGCAACAAGTGGCTTACATTTACGGGCAGAGGAGGCAGGACGCGGAGGCTCAAAGTTGGTGAACGGAAAGTTCGTTTCGACTTAAACTTTTTTGTTCGCCTTGTCTTTTAATCCCGTTTGTGCGCAGTAAGTGAAGGAGGACATCTCTTAAGTTGTATAAACCTTACACGAGTTTGTCATCGCCATGATTGGAGTGGTGATTTTCCAGATGTGGATAGTTTTATTGTTGGGGACTGTTACCGGAGTCGGGAGAGCTCAGGTCTCCATCGCCAAAGTGATGATGGGCAACATCAGGAGAGACGGTGAGACGACTTTATTTCTTTACTGTCATGTTTCTGTGTTGACGTTGCTCGCGCTTTCAGTGTGTTCTCTGCCTAACATCTGTTGTATTCAAAAGAAACAAACAAAAAAAAAAAACTTAATGGATAGTGTACCTTATCATAATCATTTTTTTATCTCATACAGTAGCTTGGTAAAAACTTGAAGCTAGTTCAGATAAGGCAGTGGCCTTTTCTCCTTAAATGTATCATTGGATCTATTTTTTGTCTATTTCATATTCTGTCTCAGTTGCAGCCTATAATATCTATTGAGATGATCATACATATGTGCTCAAGTCCTCAAATGCCCATCAGTTGTCAGGAAGTGTGACAATTGACTGACAAATGGCTGCTTGAGGTGAATGACCTGTTGACCCACTGATTTAAATGCTGTTGGAGGAGGCAGCAGCAGAGTGCAGAGAGGAAATAAAAGAGAAGTGGGTAAAAGATGTTCAGAAGAAGGAATAGAAAAGTGTGTAGGATGACAAAGCTGCTTCACTGTCACAGATTTGGAAACTGCATGTCGGTGACTTCTGTCATAGTAACAGTGTGTCTCCTTCACTCAAGCTGAGGTCTTCAGCCTATTGCCTGTCTCACTTCCTGCAGGTGCGCCAAGCTTACTTTTCATTTGGCCCTGAGGCTATAGAGTCAACCAACCCCCCCCCCCCCCAAACACACACACACACACACACACACACACACACAAAGGCAGTCACACAGCTGCAGGGTTGCTTTTGGCTGGGAAACATGAAAATACCACTGTATTAGGTTCTAACCTGGACGACTGCCCCTCAGGCACCTCTCACCCCAGTGTGTGCATGTCTGTGTGTGCGTGTTAATATTAAAACAATAACAAAGAGGAGGGGGTCGTGACTTGAAAAACAGTGGCAGTTTTTCCCTTTCAAACTCTTCTGGAACTTTCCCGAAGTTTCACGTATTTTCCTCAGTGCATTTGACTGTTCATTAGAAAGCATTGTAGTTTGAGTTTTGTTTTTGTTTTGATCTCAATGTGTCTGTCACCTTTGGATGTTAACTGCAGGGATGTAACCTGTTCGTAGCAGAACAGCTGCTGGATCTTGCACTGAAGCAGAGAGGTCACAGCTGTACTATGTGTAGATGATGCCGGTTAGGATGAAACATCTATGGTCTCTATCTGTACAGTGCTAAGTACAGTATTAAGCAGGAGCTTTGAGAAGAAGGCAGATTTAAAACGCTAATGTGCTTTTACAATTTGAAATGGGAGCTTCTTCAACAGTTTTTGTCAGATCTGCTTTTTTTTGTTTCACAGACAATCTCCTACCTTTCTTCTCCAACTGAGAGAGACAATGTTTTTCTGTATTGGCTTCTCTTCTTCAAACACTTCACAGTTATAGATTTTTAAAAAAGTACCAACATTTACATTAAAACATGTATTTTTGATCAGTTTCTACATAAACATAATTTGCCTTAAGGTCTCCTTTAAAGAGAGGCAGTTGAAAACTACTTTGAGCATATAGGTGCTAGTTCATATTTTTTCTAAACCTGTACCAGACCTTGAATGCTTTTGAAAAAATATAAATATACACAAGAGGTTGATTGATTTGGGTGAATTTGAATCCAAAGTATAAACAGTCTCTGCTTTGCAAATATCCCCAAGATGTCTACGCTTGCAATCTGCTGAATTAATCCAAGATTCGGGAACACCCGCTGATGTTGTCAGGAAATTATTATATCCGAGAACATGCCCTCAGAACTTGGCTGGGTGACATGCTTAGTCTGAGCATTAACTTTACACAGTTTTAGACAATTAAATCATTATGTCACAGGAGCTTTGAAGATGACATCACTTTTTGAACGCTGTCACATGGGAGACGAGCCGTCACTCACTGCAGGTTGTCCTGACAGAGCTGTCGAGTCTTTCTTTTTTCAACGTTCTGTTAATATCAAATCAGATCACCGTTATCAAAGAGAATCCTTTTATCTCTTGATGATCTTTCGTTGCACAATGACTAAGATTCACTGTGATAGCTGAGACAGACAGGTTGTTAGATGTTGCAAAGGCTTTAAACGGCTCTTTAAATCCAAGGCATGTTGAAAATTAGAGCTAATTTCAGTTATTAAATTCAGTGGTGCTGATTAGCTGTGTTTCTATGCGCAATAGCGAACCTCAACTGATAGGAGCTCACCGCTTTATCATTGTGAAAGTGCCCTAGTGTGTTCTTTTGGGTCTGTGTGTTAGTGTTCTGTCAGAATGTCAGAATGTCTTCGTTCACTTCGAGGAATTCCCCCCAAGGTTTTTTTTTTCTCCCTTATGTTTGTGCAGCAGTTTTCACATTCTCCTTTTCTGCCATTAAAGTGTGTCAGTCTGTATGCATTAAAGGGTTGGAATTGGGTGGTGAGATAAGGGGACAGAATTTATTTGTAGAAAAAGGAAACCAACACATACACATGTAAACACATAGAGCAAAGTCAACACTGTTTGGCCTTTTGCTCTGAACAACTTAACTCTGTTGAGGAGACCAGACAAGGCAACCTGCACAAAACGTGTGTGTGTGTGTGTGTGTGTGTGTGTGTGTGTGTGTGTGTGTGTGTGTGTGTGTGTGTGTGTGTGTGTGTGTGAAGTGGCACTTGTGAGCAGGGAAATATGTCCATGTGTAAGCAAGCACAGACAAAAACAAGCATATTCTGACAGTGTAATTGGCACACACACTTAGGAAACAGTCAAGGGGTAAACTATCTACTTTTACTATCAAGTAAAACAACACAAAATGTCCCAAATCAAATGATGTGGCTCTCAAATACATTATAATTTCTCTTGGAATTGTGACTTTAAGGAATGGGAACACTTGGACAAAACTGGCACTTATTCTCTGTGACTGCCTGCCCTAGGTTCTTGTTTTTGGGGTTGGACTGGATTTAAGATTGCATCAGTGGTAGATCCACATAAAGCTTTGACTATTTTTAGACAAAGTCTATCTTAATCAAACACCATGAAAAGCTACCACACACCATAGCTCTATAGATAATTCAATTAATCAGGATGATTTTCAACAGTTTCTCATTACATTGCATTTTTATCAGGGCTGTAAAACCATACATTATTCAAACTAGGATTATTTGCTGAATTCCAATAGTTAATCACAATTATGTTGTTAAACATTCAATCATTTAGCATTAAAAAAATGATTTTAAGTCAATATTAACGTTATGAAGCAATTCTGTTCTACACTGATCCCCTTTCATGCAATAGCATTTTTCAATTTTTTGTTTAGTTGCTTTTGGTTTCATTGAGGTGTAACTGTTCACAACATGCCAACAAGAAGACGTCCTCTTTAGGCCAAAATCTTCCACTGTAGTTAACCTCTTGAACTTAGTTTCATCCACAAGTCTGTGGTTTTTCTCACATTGAAATTTTTTTTCGCTCTGCCAGCTTTGGTTATTGCCCGCTGACATCAGTCTGATCAGCTGCACCTGTATGCTTAGCTCATACTCAAAGTACTTTGGTGATATCTTAATTCCATTTCACACAAGGTGCATATTACTTTACACCACTCAGTCAACTGAGCCCCGTGTAGTAATGTTTTTGTTGAAGTGAGCTATTTGAAGGCACAGTGGTGTGTTTTTTTTTCCATCATTGCAGCAGAAAGACGCCACAGCGGCTTAACTAAGGGACGAAAGGGGCAAAATAGCATATACCTTAATTTCATTGTGTTAATGCTGACAGCCCTAAATCAAGAGAGTTTGACTTGATCACTATGAAGACAAAATCACAAATTCTGTCATAAGACCACTTTCCTAACTAAAATATGTTGACTAAATGTAGACTCAAATTGATTCTCATTTCTTATCTCAATGGTTTATTATGAATCTCTAAGACAAACCATCACAAAATCAAGCCGATGTCCCGAAGAAGTGTTTCACTTTTTGCTTTCACCCTGTGATTAAGACGGAATGCATACAATACTCAGGAGATTTAAGTTTACTGTTCTCTCCCTCCATGTTGACTTTACGATAAGCTTAAGTCAAGTAATAATACTGCCACACTCACTCACATATGCACACTCACACAGCACTACAGTAACCCTTACATTTATGAGAGTAACAAAATGAAGATGTTCCTTTTAGAGAGTAGTATGCTAGCAGTGAGGTGCATGATTAACTTTTAAAAAGAAACAGACTATGCAATAACTCTCCGCTAAACAAAGAACTTCTATTCAGACAAAGAAGCACATTATCTTCTTTAAAGGCTCCTGGCATACCTTTCTCCTCTTCTTTATTCCAGCAGTTCTTCTCTTATCTGTTGCCCTCCTCTCTCTCAGTGCTGTCTTATCAGTCTCTGCCTTGCCATATATCAGTCCATCTCCCCAGATCCTCCTTTTTCAATCTCTCCCCCTTCTCATTTCTGCCTTTATCTCTCCCCCATCTGTTCATCTCCTTTTTAATCAAAAGCCTCTTCAACCTGTTGGCTTTGTGAGCAAATATAATGTCGGAAACAGTGTCACAGACATGCGCGCTTGCACGCTCACACAAACCAAAGCAACCTGAAGAAGAAAAAAGAAAGTCGTCATTTGTAAAGTAACATTTAAAACCCCTTAAGATATCCTGATATTCACTACAGAAACAAAGAAATAGAAAGTAAAAAAACAAGTTAAATATTAATACACATAGTCCACATGCAGACAAGACCTGTGTGCTCCCACACTCTGAAGGGATGGTGATATCAGTGAGTGTGATGTCATGCTTCTTGAGTGTTTTTGAGAACTCAAGGTGGCCTTGTCTGTGGTAACACTTAAAACATCTTAGGTCTAAAAGAATGCCCTTCAAGTATTCATACTCAGTGTCCCAGGTGCTGGAAAAAAAAACAAAGCTTTTAGGGCTGAAACGATTCCTTGAATCAGTGGAGCACCGCGATTTCTAAAATGCTGAGGCAAAGTTTTTGCCTCAAGGCTTTGTCTAAATCCAGACAGCTTCACAGCGCTCTGTCTAACGGCACAAAATACTTTATA